ACCCCATTAATCATGTTTGTGAATGTCTAATCTCAACGTTACTTGTGCTGGTTTCATTTTCATGCCTGTCTGCAAGATTTATAATGGCGTTTGGAGAAGGTGTATATGGTGTGTGTGAGATGTAATACATTGTTACGGAAGCATGCTCTTAAATGTGTCACCTTGTTGAAAAGAAGAATGTCCTGAATGTGCAGTTCATGCCCCGGGGGGAGGGGGGGTGTTGATACACACATCTGTTCCTTTGAATGTGAGTGTTCCTGTGTGTTACCTTTGCACCTGCAATTGTGTTCTGAGTTTAAGCGTTTTACGTGTGTGTGTGTGTGAATGTGTTTGTATCTATGAATGTGGGTGTGTACTGGTGCACAAGTGTGCAAAAAGCTTGACCAGGTCATGGTGGCATGTGTCCCTGTTCGTTACCATGGTGATGGCAAGTGGCCTTTCAAGAGATGTCCATCCGGATGATGAGATCAGATTACATCAATGAAGGGAAAGAACAGAAACAAACACAGGGGTGAGCAGGGGAATGAGTATTAGAGAAGGGACGCAAGAGGGTGGGGGGGATGGGCCCCGACGGCTTGTTAATAGAGTGTACCAAAGGGATCATCAAACACACACACACACGCACACACACACACAGCTGTGAGTCTGACACACACGTACACACAGAGAGACCACAAATTCTGATAATGTTGGAAGCATTCATTTCTTTGAACAGCCATCACTGACATAAGCATACACACCCTCAAACACCCCATGATTCCCAGTGCATTCTAGTTTTGTTGTCTTGTGGCAGTCAATGAGTGAGGAAGGACAAACAGATCTCATTACCTGAGACTAACAGTCTGCTTGGAGAGCTGGATGTGGATGACCCAGCTAAATGGCAGACAGCAGGGTTGTGTGTCTAGACGAAGGCTGTCTAGAGACATTGATCTAAGACAGCAGAGCAATGGACTGACATTCACTGAGTGAAGACTGGGAGTTTTTCCAAGGAATTCTTCATAATAAAACACAGGCTCATGGGCACTAGCATCTGATTCAGTAACTGAAACTAAGCACACATTTAAGGCTCACGTACTGTTGTTCCTAGGGGTTATTTGTGGTAGCAGAACGGTAAATACTGTGTCTACTCTTAATGAGTTACAGTTTAAACCACATCATTCTTTCAAAACTAAAATGAAAAATATAAATTTTACCTTCATGTTCATCATCATCATTATTGTCACTGGCATAGTCGTCATCGTCTTCATTATATGAGATGTCAGCTATAAGGCATCACATGCATTAATAGAGAACTGATAAAAAGGTATCTTTTTTTTCTTCATTTTAGTGTACATACTTTATTACTGTAAATGGTACAAGTAAACAAATTAATATAACCACAATGCTTAAATCTACGTACTGGCTGTCTGCAGTTAGACTACTAGCACTATCCCACCGCAACATATACTACTGTAATTTACTGCTTTATGGAAGTATATTGAATAACATTTACCAGCCTGAATTCCCTGAGCTGCAGTGGCTGCATCGTCTTCCTTCGAGGCCATTGTGCCCGTCAAAATTATGTCCACTACAAGTGCTTCTTTTTGCCACCAACAGGCTTAAACTGTTATAGCAGGTGTCTAACAACATCATGGAAAGGATCCCTACCACTGACCCCCGCTAACACCCTTTGTTTTTAACAGGAAACTGAAGTCTCGCTCAAGCACAATTCTCGCTCGAATATCTTGTGAGAGCCGAGTTGTTGCAGGAAGACAACGGTGGACAGGAAAATGAGGTTCATTGTCACTTCTGAGCCAAAAGCCTAATGATTCAAACAAATCATAATAATAAAACCATTATGGGCTTTGGCTACATTCAGAATGACAGCTTTTTCAGAATAGGTGTGGTGCAAATCTGACACACAAGTGTAACTGATTTTTTTCCTTGTACAGATATTAACTTTGAAAAGACTTGAGCCTGTGTGCTCTCAAATGTTGACTTGCAGACTGAGTAGCGCTCAGAAGTAGTTTTGTGTTAAGATCTTTTGTCATTAATATACTTCCATATATACTACCATACTACTACAACATAGATTACATACTGTATATGTCTGCTAACTTGGGGAATCTTAACAGGAAAGAGTTTTGAATTTCATGTGGCTATTGACTGTGGCTATTAAAACTGTCATGCAATTTAAAAAGCAAAACATTATTCAGTTTACCTAAAATGGGGGTTGGAATTCGAAAGAACTCTTCAGTTGCTCTCATTGCATTTTGAAAAAATACATTTTCCACTCAAATTATGATGAATATCTTGCAGTGAGCAAAAACACCAACTAATAATCACAATATCAAGGCTTTCATGTTAAGACAAATGTCCTAGTTAAGCGACATGAAACGTTCTAGTCCAGTTAATTCAGCTGTTGGTTTTGCTATAAAGCTTTACTGTATTTACCATCTGAGTCCAGATCATCATCTTTTCTGCAGTCATCATCCTGCACTACAAAAAAAAGTAGACAAGAAATCATAATTTTGTGCAATTCTTAAATCTTCAAGAATAATAAAATGGCTTAGCTATAAACACACTTGTCCCGAACATAATCAGTGGTCTTCAGCAACACAGTGTGACAATATTTCCCTGTATGGCATATTCCTTGCTTCAGCAAACCACTAGTGTTTCCTACTAACTGGCTGGTGAGTAACTGGCTGGTGAGGACATTAACAGGAAGACAGCGATGAGTGTATGACTGACTATATGTGGTGTGTGTATATATCTGTGTGTTTGATGGGTTAGGGGAGGGTGACAAGGCTAATTATCTAACTATAACTGAATCATCAACATGTTTGTAGTCTGAGGCAGAGTCAGAGTTAGCTTCAAGGTACAAACAATGTTGTTTATATTTACTTCACATGTGCATTCACACACGCGCACATGTGAACTAGTCAGATGTTTTTGATTTGTTTGTCACCCTAATCAAGAGAATGAGAGGGTAAAAGATAAATAAATAAATGCTCCTATCGTTTCTCCTCTCTTTTACTTGCCTTACCTCCTCTTGTCCTCCATTGCAAATGAGCCCTATCACTATTAGCAACTCATCCATTTATGAATGCAGATTAGATGAAATGCATTATGTATCAAACCAAGGGTCATCCATCCCTAAAGGAAGTGGCTTCTCAGGCCTAGCCTCTCTGTGCACCAGTCATTCACTGCTAGGACTGCATGCTAGGACAAGCATGTAACAGAATTACCAAAGAGTTAGAGATACCAAAACAAACCTTTTACATAGAACCTATGAAAAAACCCCTGAACTGCTTGGGCTTTAAGCTGTCCAACAACCAGTTGACATCAATGATCTATTTCTCAGTTTATATCCCAGGATTACAGAAGCATAGTGAATGCAACACAGTAATGGTTATGATGGTCAGTGTTGCATAACAGAGCCAGATGGTTTACTTGGCTGGACCATGGTGCTGGCAGCCAGGCGACTGTAAGCTTGTTTCCTGCATGGCCAACATGAAAGAAAGGCAAAACACTGTGTGTTCACATTAGTGGCAGGGTTATAGATTCAGCTGTACCGACAGAAAAGCCACTGACAGCAGATCCATTCAGTAGATGGAGGCATACTGGCTGCTGTTGAGTCATCACTTTTCCGATAACATTTGTGTGAACATCAGTATCATTCAGGTTTTGTTCAGCAAAAACACGAGCCTGAATTGTTGAATCAGAATTGTTTATCATCTGTTTTAGTAATTGACAGCAGTGTTTCCATAAAGACAGACACACTACTTCTTTACACTACTATAAATAAGTGATCAAAGCATACTGTACAGGGGGAGGTAAAGGTTTTTAAGGACACAAAACATATAGGAAGGGGTGGGAATAGGGGTCTCGCAAGTGCATTTAGACGACTGTTCGTGTGTTGTTTGCGACAGAATGTTTCTAAGAAGGAAGAAGAGAGAGATAAGAGTGTGTGTGTGTGTTGTGGTTGTTTGCACAAAATCCAAATTGAAATTCCAAATTGACCCTTAATCTGTACTTCCTGTGCCTCTGTAGATCTGAAAGGAACATAAGAGGTCTCAGCATGAGTGCTGCTGCTCTCTCTATGGCCTTTCTGAGGACATGAGGGAACTGTTTCCATTAAGCTAATGTGGGTTTGATCCATGGTGATATATGTGAAGTGGCAGGATGTAGGGTGTGGGGTCAATGTGAAGCTGGGTGTCTGTGGACAGGTGATAAGAGGAGGGGGTAAAAGCAGTTGAATGTTCAGGGGGAAGCACTTTCAGTGGGAAGGAAGGACATTGTGTCTGTATGCATACAAACAACCAAAAGCACACGGGACCTGTTTGAATTTGCATGCCCTCTCCTTGAAGTAATAACAAATTTATACTGAGATTGTACAAACATCTCAAGTGGATTCAAACAGGGCCAGGAACTAATTGCTACACTATAGGTGCAGGGTTGACACACTGAAGTGTATGGGAGAGATACAGGGTAAGGAGTATATTATGGAGTTTACCTTCTACGTCATTACAGTCATAGTCTTGAGTGAAGCATGGATGGAGACAAAAGCACACACACAAACACATGAAAGCGAAGCGACTGCACCTCTCTGTGTAAAGCAGAAAACAGCACATTTACAAAGTGAATGAAATGACAATTCACAATGTCAAGCTCAGACGACACTGAAATTATCTCCAGGTTGAGAGATTACATAACTGCTTTGGGGCCAAAAAACACAGTGAAGAAATGGTGTGTTTAGCATCTGAGAAGTATGAGAGCATAGGAATGTGTGTGTTTTTTATTCTGCAACATACCCAGCTCTGACAGTCATGAAAGCCACATGTAGCCATGAGCTTTACAGGAGATCCTAAAAACATCACTAGTGGTGATGATAGAGAGTCACTGACATGCTATGAAATACAGAATATTAGCAGCAGTGGTGTCAAAAAGTATTAGTTACAGCAGTAGGTTAAGTGAGGGAATGAAGCATGTAGTAACAGAAATAATAGCAGAAAACCTACCTTTGACTCTCTCTCCACGGTTGAGTTGGATCTCTCCCTCCCCCTGTGGCGTGTAGGGCTTGACCACAATGAAGGTACGTCCTGGGACAGCACTGTAGAGTTTCCGCTTGGGCCCGCGGGGGCCCGTCAGCGCTGGAGGGGTGTGATGAGGGGGGCTTGGGTCTCGCTGCACTGAGCCGGGGCTGTAAACAAACACATATGTTACTGTGGTGATTCCAGGGAGCTGGTAACTGAAGCCTGTGGTCACCGACATTGTCGTCAGCGGGACAGCAACCTGGTGACACCCTCTGGTTGTTACGGTGGCCAGGGAGAGATTCATAAACAAGTCCCAGTGCCTGCCGATCAACAGTCAACAGTCAGTGTTCCATGGGAGAGTCATGAGAGGAGAGTACACTCCTCCCAACCACTCTCTCCCCCTCCTCTTCTTATTCCCTCTCCTCCTTCCTTAATAGCACAGACAATATCCTTCTTGCTCCCTTTTACCCTCTCCTATCTCTCTCCTCTCCCCCGCATCCTAACCGAGGTAGAAGCAGAAATGTTTAACAGTCAGAGGGACTGCACTGTTTCTTCCTCTGTGTGGGTCTGTCAAATCCGTCTGGAAGCACCCCTTAGTCAAACATATCCTGAGTTGGGGCTCCAGCAGAAGCCCCCTCCAGAGAGGGACAGAGATCCCCTGTGTGTCCCATGTTCCAGCTCCTCCAGGCTGGGCTACAGATCCTGCCTCGTCCTTGGGTCCTGGTTCTCCTGCTGTGGAGGAGAGAGGCTGGGTTTGCTCCCAGACTCCCGCTCCTTCTCCCAGGAGTCCCGCCGCGTCTGCCTCTCCTCTCCCCTCCACCCCTCACACACACACACGTTCGCTCACACACACTCACACACACTCTGGCAATGCTGCTGCTGCTACTGCTGCTGCTGCTGCTGCTGCTGCGCTCCGTGGCTCCCCTCCCCTTTGACGACTCGCTCACACTCACACACCACAAGCCCTCTGTGTGCATTCTAGCCATGCGCACAGGCACATACACAGACAACCCCCCCCACTCCGGTTAACATTGCACCTCTGCTAGCATGGCATACGCCACCACCAGCATGTTGCTAACACATCGCTGACACTCACATACAGACACTAGTCCCAGAGTACGATTGATCTCCCTCTGCCTGTCAGCCTGCGAGCGTGCATGCGCCACAGCTCCCTGAGGCAGGCTGTGAGAGTATGTGTATGTCTATGTGTATGTGTGTGCTTGTGTGCAGTGGGGCGGGGGGCAAAAGCTCCAGCCCATTTGGTTTAATTGTTGCTCCTCCCTCTTTCCCTTTGCCTTGAATCACCTCCTTCTTTCTCTCATTCTCTCGTTTCCATTTCACCCACTTATCCCTCTCCTCCTCAACATTTCTTCACGTTGGATCTTCACTCTCTCTCCTTCCTTCTCTCTCTCTCTCTCTCTGGCGGTGAATTCTAATACAGTAGCGGCAGAGCTCCGCCTAGTATTCATTCATCACTACTTTTCCACCGCTGTGTACGTTGCATTCAGCATCATTCTGCTGCTTGTGTTGTGTTTGACATCCATCAAAAAGACATGCAACACTTATATTAATCACATATATAATTAATAGAATCCGATGCCCATGTTTATCTGGTGTGGGATTTACTTGAGAGTGTGTTTTGTGTGTATTACAAATACAGACAAATTCACTGTTCATTCACAGTAACAAGTGACATGTATATACCCTGATATTTGGACTTTGATGCGATTCTCTGCAACATTTCCTTGAAAGACTTGAAATCTCCCAAAACCCTTCATTCCTGTCTATCCAACTTTCAACTTCTTTCAGCTTCTTGCCATGCCTCCCCCGACACATTGTATGAGTGTGCCCTTTCTTCCATTCTTCTGTCTACCCCTTTCCTCATTTCAAGCCTTGTTTATCTCTTTCTCTCCCCAACTCTCTATAGCTTTTCTTGCTCTCCCCATCTCACACAGTCCCTCTATATGTCTGTCCCCCTCTCCACTGAAACAATGGCTTTCTGACGGCTTTCCAATTACCGCAGGGACTGAGGGGCCGGGATGGCTGCCGCATGTTAATGTCTGAGCACCGGCACTGAACATAAGCAGCACACACATCGGAGAGGAGGGCGGGCTGGAGAAGCAGGGAGATGAGGCTGAAGTCAAAGAGACACATATAGCCAAAAGATATGTTCTGTAAAGGATATTTCATTGACTCTAATCTGCCTCCCCTACACACACGCCTCTGCCACGCCATACACCTACTGCGAGGTTATGTACACAGCTTGACCCCAGCTGCTCCCTGCAGTTGAGCTGATGATGGTCGGGTTGACACGTGACATTGAATGAGGCTGAAATTGGCAACTGCACTTCAACATTTTAGATTAAAAAATACTGAACGACATTTGAATGACCTTAGATTAGGTATCAGAAATAGAAAAGCATCCATAACTCTAAAATTTGACATGTCATATTTATTACATTTTTACCAGTAACTTCTGCTGTCTGTACATTTTTAATATTTTACTATTTATCCACCTGAAAGACATTTCTGTAGGATGCTCTTTAACTCTTAATCTATTCTAAATTACCACTGCAAGCATTAATATCATGGTCCACCCATGAGTTTCCTTTGTTAATGTCAGATTTCACTTCTATCCATTTCATATCCTTTCTGACTGTCATACAGTTAACAGCTAACTGGAAGCGTCTACCAGAAGGCGTTGTACAGTCACTTCTAGATTAGACCAAAGGGGAGCAAAGAGAGGACTCTTTGTTGTTACAGTGACCAGGACGCTTTAAAAATTGTATTTCTAATTGTAAATTTCTCATCTGCACTCAAGACGGACATGACAAATACTCAGTGTTCTTGCCTGTGTCAAGAGTTGCATGTCGTGATATTTATAAGGTTTCATGCCTGTTTCGTTTTCATTGTTCATGCATTGCTGTTGGATACTGAATATAAAATAGTATTCTACACCTACATCATATATAGTATATATCAATTTTATTTCAGCATGATGTTTTTTCCACATGGCACGAATGATTTAGACATCTAATGCCTGGTTTTTAGATTTTAAACATGTCAGTTGCTCGATGAATTTTACATGATGACGTGATTCCCCAATGACATAATGCAAAACGTATGTAGCACAAGGGCATCTTGCTTATTTTGTTTCATTTTGCACCCTTTTTCTCTTTCCTTCTCATTCACTCTGCCTCATTATAACTGGCTTCTACAAGATACAGATGTAGGATCCACATGCACACACACACACACACACATATACACAAAGTTCTAATACAGTCTATTACAAAAGACCCATCGTTTCCTAGGACACCAGCCTTGCCTCTGTAACGATGGCAACTGTCAATAAAGGAAAGAAAATATAGCCAACAATGCAATGATAAGTCAATAATATGAACTTGGATCTCTATAACAGTCAATGTGTCATAAATGCAGCAAAATTCAACTGACAATTTTCTCTCCATATTCTCATCTCACACATTCAAGTAATCTCACTGCAAAAAAACCCCATTGCATTAAAGAAATTGAATAAGGCAGTGGTAATTCAGCTTGCACAGATCATACTGACATTGACTTCCAATATTACTTCATTCTTCACACAAATATAGGGATATCAGATTAAATAAGATGCGAATATAAATTGTATCCTAAATAATGTAAAGTACGTGGGAGTTCCCACCGTTGTTAAAACAATTGGTATAATGGCTAGTAACTTTATCTTTGAAAGACTCATTTTGTTCTCTGTGAAGATTCTCAGTCTTCCACAGCATAGTTATCAAGGGTAAACCTTCCTTAGATTGATTTTGTTGTTTGGTTTCACAAAAAGTCACGCGGTTTTCACAGTGGGAGTCAGAATGGGAAGCACTGAAATTCAAACAAATTGCTCATAAATATATATCTTTAATTTAAGTTGTGTGTTGCATAGAGTATCCATCCATCCATCCATCCATCCATCGTCAACCGCTTATCCTGTGTACAGGGTCGCGGGGGGCTGGAGCCAATCACAGCTGACATGGTCGCCAGTCTATCGCAGGTTGCACAGAGTAACAACGAACAAATAATGTTGATTTTGAACGCAAAATCAAGAGCAAACACTTGCCTTATTTTTTTGCATGCCATTCTTCTCTTCGTCTGTGTTTTTGAGTTTGGACCATGCTAAAGATTATTCGAGATAAGTGGCCCTTATCAGAAGTCTTAAAGCCAATAACTTGGACATCAGATGCTAGATTAGGATCAATGAGCCCACTAAAGACAGGTTAACATTTAAACAGCTCGATTATGAGTTTGGAAGTCAAACACTATGAACTGCCTACATAACTCTGAAGATGCAACTGCAAATGTCATTAAATGCCATTTACACAGATGCTATCAAACTAAGCAGCTTCAGTGTAGCTTTTTCTCACATGACTGCCTTGCCTTCTCAGGTAAATGGTTTTTTCTCTAAAATTCCCCCGCTTTCTAAGGTGAGATGAGCACAGAGTCATAATCAGCATCACACTTTGCATCCTAATGATTACCAGTCTCTCCTTGCTTTGCTGCACTTGAATGAATATATGCTCTCTCATTCTTTTTGCCCAATGTGGGAGTGTTTATGGCTATCAAGGTGGATTCAGAATGTGGACTCTGGCTCATTGGCCAGAACATATTAAGATTATGAGCAGCAAATTTGTTTATACATGGGCAGCTTGTGCTCCATAGAGACTTTACTATTAATCCAAATTAAAAGAAAGGGTAATTTGGTGTGATCAACACATAACCCTAAACTCTACCTCAATTTGAGAAAGGGGAGGAGGACAGGGGGAGGATACGGCATCTTTTTCACTACATAATTCTCCTACACAAAAGCATTTGCTCCACACTTTTCTGCATGTACATTTGTCCTGATTTACTAAATAAGAAAACCTATGTAACTGCATGGTTTATAGGAAGAGTTCCCTAATATGTTTTTTTAATGACCAATCTCATTGTTTGCATGTTCACTGCTTATCTTTATGTTTAGCAACAGGGCCAATGTCTACAGACATTTTAAAGGCGTAAAGCTCTGGCTACAAAGGGCTCTAAGCTCTTTATGGATTTGAAGAAGGCTTTTGACAAAGTCCCTCAGGGTGTGTAATGTGTGTGCGGAGGGAATATGGGAAGTCAAGGCGTTGCTCTGAGCCATCTAGTCCTTGAACACAGCTGTAAGAGAGTCATAAACAATTTACTCCCATCTAAAATGAACTGAAATGAGTTAAGCTTTTGGTCTCATTCATGAGTGATGGTAAGACAGAATCTGAGACTGAAAGGTCTATCGATGCTTCGGGTGTAACGGTACACAGAAGTTACATTTCAGAGTGGGCTAGGGCTGTACCGAGCATCAATGCAGTGCCTGTATTGATGTAAGTGTTGTACTGGACTGTCATGGTGAAGAGGGAGCTGAGCCTGAAGGTGAGGCACTTGGTTGATCTAGGTTCAAATTCTCACCTATGGTCATGAGCTCTGGGAACTGACAGAAAGGAGATCATGGATACGAAGGAGAATTAGTTTCCTTCGCAGGGTCTCTTGGCTCCCCCTAAGGGACAAGGTGAAGGGCTTAGATATGCAGAAGGAGCTTGGAGTAAAACCTCATGGGCACATCAAACTGGAGGCGAACCCACGGCAGACACAGAATACGCTGGAGGGATTACATATCCAATCTGGCCTGGGAACTCCTCAGACTCTCCCAGGAAGAGCTTGAGGATGTGGCTGGGGGAGAAGGACATTAAGGCTATAATGGTTATCCCACTGCTACAATGACCCGCACTGGAATGAGTGGCAGAAGAGAAGTTAAAGTACCAGAGGTACTGGAATGTTACGGTTCTGTGCTACCAATTACTGGATTGGATTATTATATCCACATTGTTTGGTACATTCTGACCCTGATCAAAACTTCATCTTCACATATTGTTAATTGCTGTAACACTTATAAAAGGGCTGTATACCGCATGACATGACTGTATTGTTGAATTATTATGTGTGGCCAGGACAATGCAGACAGCATCAATGTTTTAAACAAAGATCACAGGAATTATGATGTGCACAGACCAATACTACTGTGTCCTCCTTTGATGTGGATTACCCACAGGTGAAGCAGAAGAAGCTCAACTCTTCGTCTCCTCCTCCCCTTCCTCCCTTTTCCTGCCCTTCTTTCTTCTTTCTGTACTTCAGCCCTTTGGCTGTGTTAAGACGCCATGGATAATCTACACACCAACAGCCACTAGTGTGACAAATGCAAAGAAAGTGGGAGGGAAATGGGGTGAAAAAGAGGCAAGGACAACAGCAACAAACAAACAATTAAAGGGTGAAGGGAATGAGACACCCCCATGTTGGCTTATTGCCATCATACATCACATGAGGGGTCACAGTGCAGCAGTTAAGCAGGTAATGACCCAGTTTCTTGCTCATTACCACCACAAGTTAACACCACATCCTTACATGACAACATATTTCCGTTACTTCTGCGTGACTGAATCTTCACTTGAAAGATTTAGTCCCATGTGTCCAAATCTCCTCCCACAATTTTCAGACAAAGGGTAGCAAGAGCTTATCCTGACATTCAAACATTTTGTCCAAACAAAGGCCTGGGAGGGGATTAAACAGAACATTTGCTGGCAGTGTTTTAATATGAAAAAAATCAATCAATTAATCAATCAATCAATATCTTACCCAAACCAGTCAGAAGGTATTTAACTGTTTTTACCTACTAAATATTTGGCACACTGTAAAGGAGGTGCGTTGAAAATGTGAACTCTGTGTTCACCTCTTACTCATTGTAGGAAAACTGAAACAAGAGCAACACATGGGAAATGGAAACAAAGTTGGTATCCTCATAATTTCTGTCTATCTGGCAGCTTGATAACTCTTCTGAACCAAGACTGACAACTAAGGTGCACAGTTCAATATCACAATTTCTGGCAATGACACTGTCAAGTGTCCCCCGGATGATTAATTATCCCTTTGTATTGACAGCACATCATGGTAAGTAACCAATTAATAACCTCTTATGACAGTACAATTTTTGCCATGTTATCATATTATCACCCAACTTCATGTCATATTATATATTTTCAACTTCATCAGCTGGACTGATTGCAAGCTTTTTATTTCATGATCTAGTCTTAATAAGCCACTCTGACCTATCTGTATCCTCTCTATTGTCTCCATCTAAACTTTCTGCTGAAGCCTGGCCAAGCTACTGAACCCTGGCTTCACTGCACACAATGAGGAGGAAGTTATGGCAGGTTCCACAGGAACTTGCTGGAGTTTGCCGTTGGGCGGGCTGTTGACCGGCCAAGCTAATTTCACACTCCCCTGGTACCCATAATGCCTCTAGAGTTACCATGGGCATAAACAGAAGGTCAGAGAGAGATGGGGAGATGGAGGGAGAAATATTAGGGGGAAAATATTCAAGGACAGCATCAGTCTCACTTGGGTGCAGGTTCTGGCCATGGAGACCAGCTGCTCGTTTTTGACTTTTTATACATTCACCTCACTTTAATACTTGGTGCAAGGGTAATGCACACTGAAGAACAAGGTCTCAACTCCCTGTGTACAGAAGGCCATTTAGGCCAGGACACAGCAGACATAATCAAAATCTGCTATCCTCCTTTTTCTTTTTCACTTCTATCTTTTCCTCTTTCTTCCCACTAATCAACCTTGTACAAAATGAGTACAGTGATAGAGTGAAATATGTGAATCTCCACCAGTGACCATTTATGACAGTGTAATGCCAGATACAGCGGAAGAAGATGCACTTAATTTGTGACCCTTATGGGGAACAAGACTTGATAGAAAGAGATGAGGGTGGTTAAACACTCCACTGTGAATTTATTAATGAACTAAACTCACTTCATGTAATTCAGTTTAAGATTGTGGAGACAATGCCTATACAATTTAGTCCTTCAAAGCTTTTGTTTCTATGCTGTGTGATGTGCGCATGTTTTTATAAAGGATGCTGACTGCTCTCTGGCCGCAAACCATAGATTAATGGCACTGTGCACATCTTTGTGTGTGTGTGTGTGTGTGAGTGAATGACAGAATGAGAAGTAGAGAGAGAGAGAGAGAGAGAGAGAGAGAGAGGAGAGTCTTTGATGGATGGAGTAAAGTGACAGAAGAGTATTAGAGGGAGAGGGAAGTACAGCCGAAGCGGTGTCTGTAATGCAATTCCCCTGTCAGACATCAGACTGTTTCACACACACATACAACCAGTGTGTGGTATCCAAGAATCCCATTAGGTGTGTGTCGTACGTGGGTGATCTTGCTCTGACATATGATCATAATAAAAACTTTAACAAACCAAGTGTCAGTAAACCACTTAAATTTATCGCACAGAGATTAGATCAGAGCCCTAGTTTACTGCAGTTTGTCTAATGGTTCAACGTACAAGGGAGGAGATTTGTTCCAGTACCCCGGCAGCACAACTACATCTGTGGATTTATGTATCAATCGAGTGGCAAGCTGTTTTGAACTGAGTGGCCCATCCAATGACATTACTCATTGCTCTAATTTCAGAATATATCCTCTGTCTCTCAAACTTTCTCTTACACAAACTCACATACACATACATTCACAGCTTGGCAGCCTTCAGTTGGTCACCGTAGTGATCATTATTAGGCGATTTCCATCTGCCTGTCTCTGAACTGTCTAAGAACCCATGCAAATAGCTGTGTGCAAGTGTCTATGAATACACATTCGAGCATACAAACACAGAGACAAACAAACACACAGATTTTAAGTATGTGATTTGTCCTCCCAGCAGGACAAATGCTGGGAGGACAGCAGGCTGTGTCTATGCCAGACACACACCATGCCACTGATCATTGCCCTCATACCCTGACGGGGGCACAGGCCGCAGGTTGCAAGTACAGTTTCGACAGGAAAACGACTTTTATATCTGCCAGGGATTTATGTATGAATAAATAAACATGATTTTGCACTGATTGATGCTATGTCATGTTTATCACCAGTAGCAGATGATAGCAGATGGAATAAGATGAAGAATGCTGCCTGGTGACTAACAAGTGATTCAGGCACACCACATGGGGCTTTTTGCTTTTTGAAATTTGGTTTAAATATTAAAGTAGGTGCTTAATCACGGGGCCAATCACAGATTATCTATTTAAAGTAAATAGCTGAGAAAACTGGTGAGACATGAATTGGGAACAGGGAGAAAAATATTTTCTTGTTTACAAAGCTCTCTAAATATATGAGGTTGAGTTATGGTCAAACCGGATCTTACAGACCTGAGCCTTCCACGATGGCCATGTCCGTGAGGGTAGCCATGGCTGTGGGACCGTCTGGCAATTGGCTTATCGTCTTCATGCATGTGATGTAGCGAAGGCGAGCGGGAATGGGAGGACCTGGAGCTGCCTGTACTCTGGAGACTGCTGTCAGGGATCTCTCCATGACGGCTCTGACAGGGCAGAACAAGAGATGGGTATCATATGCACATGTAAAACATCGCAATTGTCTTTGTGTAACATATGGACCAAAAGTGACAATATTATTAGAGATTATGACAAATCGCCTTTCTAATTGTTTTCCTTTACTTGTTTGATCTAATCAAACACCCCTACACAGCCTCACTAGCTCCATCTTACCTCTCCAAGGCTGCTGTGCTGCTGCCCAAAAGCTGGCAGACTGCGCAGTGAGGGGACAGGGGAGTGACCCTGACGGCCACGCATTTCTCTGGGGGCCTGACTGTGGAGGTGATCATGGTCCCCGTTCAGGTTGTTGTCACTTGCGGAGCGGAGCAAGGAACGTGGCGAGGGCAGGGGGCCAGGAATCGCACGTCGGCGGTTGGTGTAGGAGGGGGTCTCCCTGAAAGGCACTGAGAGGAGAAAGACACACGCAGGCATGAGCACCTATTAATAATAACAGACTCATCATATCATATGAAGCTCTGCTATATAGCAAGCAGACTGAACAGAATGCTTGGATGGGGGAAAAAGCTCTGACTCCACAGATCTCAAGGTCACTCAAATTTGTTTAAAGCTTGTTACTAGGTCGCACTAATCTGACAGTAAGCTGTGAATCTATTTACTTTGCGTTGTACATAGCTTTACACTATTAAGCAGAATCAAATGATACAATGGATCTGGCACTGATGGTACTGCAGTAAAGCTTTAGAGACAAAATTATTGAACCAAGATAGTGACTTATCATTCTTATCAATTGTATTTAAAATATAATACATTTTATAATAATAATGATTATATTTTAATATTGATCACTGAAGAATAATAAAATCACACACAGAACAAGGAAAGGTGTTAAGGAACTTCAATAATGGCATTACTGGATTTTTATTGTAGCTGTGAATTAAATCCTTTCATCATCACAAGGTTTAACTAATTTAATATCACAAATACACTAACAGAACATTGGCGGGGTGTATCTATAGCTTAATGATGGGCTGGCAAAATCATCATAAATTCCAAACATTACATGTGATTCCTATTTTAACCTGGGGTATTACATCCTGTCCACACTAGATGGCAGAGTTTTCCTGTCACAGAGAAACCACTCAACTCTGCAGGGATCCAAAAAAGCCCTGAAACCTTCCCCACATCCCTTACATTTCCATCTCCTTTCCTTCAGTTCCCCACACCTCTGTATATAACCTGTAATCATTTTCCTTGAGCTTCTCCACTACCCACGCTCAGCCATTCCTCAGTCTGATGTCTCCCTGACACTATGTTCACATATAAAGCTATAAAACACTGAGGAAGCCTGGTGATATACTACCACTCCTGTCAACTTACCGACATCTGATACTTTGTGGACCTTTATGATTTCAGCCAGATCAAAGTTTCCTGCTATAATAGCCACCTGGAGGTTGGGAAAAGAGAGTACAGGGAAAGGGGCAAACACATGAGTTATGGAGGGCAGACAACAGAAACATTTTATTCTATGGAAAACTAAAATGACAAACAAGTCAAACAAACAACTGTATGTGTGGCAATGTTCTGGGTACTGTGTGGACCAGCCTGCCTTGTGTACAAACAAATTAACTTTGATCTGCACAGGAAATCTGTGTCAGTGTCAATTTCACATGGCCTCCATCAACCACAAAGGCTGGAATATGAGACACAGACCACAATGGTGAACTGGTGGAAGATGGGGGACGTTACACTGCTTAGGTTTTTAATAGAAATCAACATATTCAATGTAGCAGCATTACACTGAGTCATTCAATCCATTTCTCTCTGACATGTCTAAGATGTAAGGTAAATACACGCAGCAACATTCAGTGGTTCTTGGATACCACACATACCTGAAAGGCGGTCTGGCTGTTGTAGTTCTTTATCTCTTTATTGGCTCCCCGGAACAGGAGAACTCGTGCACAGCTATCCTGAGTGACAACAGAGAGATGTATGCGTTAGGACTATTAAATGTCATTGTATTTAAACATGATGTATGGTACTCCTGTGGGTGCCATTTCCAAGTGTCTAATTGGTCGATCTATCAGGGGTGGGTGGTATACAAAGTATATTCTGTTTGTACCAGTATAGATGGGATTTTAAACTTAAAAATTAATGTAATCAAATCAAATATTGCCACTGCCAGGGCATTACCTTTTATCTAGCTTGTTAAAACAAGTTAGAGTCCAGAGAAACGATCATAACATCATAACAGGCACCTTCTGAGCGACAGGCAGGGCTGGACTGGGCCAAAAAACAGCCCTGGCACCAAAGTCGGTCGGACATCCCTCACCAATACACCATCCTTGCTTTTAAGGGCTTAGATTAGAGGTTTGACAAAACTCTTAACCCATGAGACTTGACACTGCACAAATAGTATTCCCCCAGAAGATTTTAAACATTAAACACTTAATTTCCTGCATTCTGGAGACATACTTGTATCAACCCTCAAAAACTGCTACCTTGTTATGCCATTTGTCAAACTGAACCCTATAAATCATTGAGCTACATTTGAATTATTAAATATCATAGGCCATATAAATACATTTATTATGATTTTTATAATTACTACTGATCATAATTTAAAAAAAAAAGATTTAAGAGGGGGGTCTGGGGGTCCTACTCCTGAAAAATTTGGGTTTTAAACATTTCATTTCCTGCATTCTGGTGAAGTTATCTGCACCAATTCATTAAGGAAATGTCTTTATTTATATAAAAGGAAACACAAAATTCAGGTGACAATTCAAAAAATAAAAATATAGTGTAATATAGTGCTGTAAGGCTCTCAGGCATTCTGTATAGCTGTCAAATGTGTTTCTCCTGTTTCTCATTTTATTTCATCCCTGCTGAGTCAACACACATGCAGACATGACTGAAGTAACCTAAAGTTTATAAATGTGCCGGTGGCACGTTTTCACCTCAATGATAAATGAATTAATTTTAATTCAGTTAGAAACCCCCGCACCTCAATAGCTCCTATGTTTCAGCAGCTTTTCTGCTCATGTTCAAAACTTTGTGCACATTAAAAATCTCTCCCACATATCTGTGTTCTCTGACATTTGCAGAATAACAATTTGAGATATAATATTACGAGATATAATGAGAATGAAGTCAATATATTTTAACAAAATCTACCTGCCCCACTGCTGTGCATTACCCTGCGTTATTGCTCTGCTGATAGAGACAGAGACAGCAAAGAGAGCGACAGGTGTCTGTGTCGTGGTCAGGTGTGTCATGTTATTCTCTCACTACTTTGCGGCGACTGTTAACCGCAAGGAACAGAGAGCAGAGGGGGGTGGGGGCTAGTAAGAGATGTGATTGGGCCGGCCCAGTGTCAGTATAGAAAATCACCTAATGGGCCACTGTCCATGGCCCATATTTTAAAAAACAGTTATATAAATAAATAATTTACGTTACACCAGCCCCAGAGGTGCGTATGCCAGATTACCAATCCAGCTCTTAACGTGTATATATATATATATATATATATATATATATATATATATATATATATATACATACATATGTTTTCTTGTTTTATTTCTGAAACATTTTTCTTTTATCAGGGAGCAGCATAAACAGTTTATGTTCAGTAGCAAGTGTCCCTGTTAGAGTGAGGTGAAGTGATCGCCTCACGCACACGCCCGCCGCTGAAGTTGAATTGTCTTGAACTTTTTGTACATGATGCAGAGCACAAATCATTGGAAGAGAGACTGATCCTCACTGTTTGTGAGTTTCCAGTATCTATTGCTGTTTACTAAATAGGACATCAACAGGAGGGCATTCGCATGGCAGAGGATCGCTGCAAAACTAGATGAAGGCCTATCAGGTAAAGTTATGTAGCCTATAATAATAATATAATAATTTCAATTTAATTTATAAAAGATACTTTTTAATTTTAAATAGATACTTGAATTAATTTTCAATCTACAGGAATATAAGTAAAACCAGATGTAAGGTGAGCGCACCACACACTTTGGAATGCTCTACCTGCACCCTTACGGCTGATTCTGGGGATGCTTTCAAAAGGCAGCTAAAGACCTGTTTAGACCAGGTTTAAACAGTCACCTGTATGTACCAGGGCCCTGTTTCAGAAAGCAGGATTAGTGAAAATTCTGAGTATGTTAAGCCTGAGATGAGGGAAAATCTGAGTTTTCCATTTCAGAGAGCGAGATCAGATAATCCCTAGATCAGTAACTCTGGCGATTGGTTAGGTTAAGTTCGCAGGATAAGTTGGAAACCCCTCAGTTTCTCTCTAACTCCTCTCCTCCTGCGGAGCCTTAAGTTTTTTTCAATTTAGACTTCTGCGTCAAATTGACGGCGTAGGCTATGGGGCTACACAGAGGCTACACCGTCGCCTGACGTGCACCTCCTCCAAGCAGGACCTACAGCAGACATAGTTCATCAACCAGCTGGCAGTTCATCTAGCAGCGAGACATCCAGCAGTGATGATCAGTGTGAACACTGTGTTTGACGACAGTTTGTAGCTAGCTGCAACAGCCTGCTGGCTTCCACCTGAAGCTAAAATTCGAAGGGTGACTGCCAGTTTCTGTCTGATGTCCACAGGCATACTGTGCGTAGACTGATGTATCAATGTAATCAATGGCTGCACACGAACCAAATCGTCAAATCTAACTGCCGACATCCGAAAATATCTGAAATGCATTTCCTCGTCAATGTCTCTCAGTCGCCAAACCAGCACAGAAAATTCAACCTTCGTCTGCCTCAACCGGTTCAACGGTCGACGGTTGTACATACCATCTTCTCCGATAAAATCTATGTCCGTCTTTAACGCTGTGACTCTGTGGACAGTCGCACTGAAAATACTTACTGTGTGCTAAATTACTGCAGTAATCACTGTTTAATATGTAACCTATAAAACTGATCAATGAACAGTAATCTTTCATATTGTAGGCTAGTCACACAGATTGGAACATTCCTATTGTCGTTATCAAATGGAGATAATGTGACTATTTCTGAGTGAGGAAGACTATGATGCAGTTGAAACAAAAAGGCCTAAATAAGGTTTAAAAGTGAGTTTTTCTTTATTAGCTGCTGATAGATTTTATTAATGTAAAATAGACGTCTAAAACTTTAACCTACAGACACATTTTCCACTGCAAAAAAATAATTAATAAGCTAACCTGCTGGGTATGACTGTGACTTTACAATCACAGGTCCACAGGTAAACTGTGTCTATAGCCTACCTTTTTTCATAATTAGGTAGCCGATTGCCACCGGCATTTAGTCCCGTCAGGTTAGAGCTTAATAAAAATAGCCTTCCTATTTAAAATCAAATGTAATGGGACGTAGCACTGTACCATTCATTAAGGAAATACCATGGTGAATAGTAGTATCGGCGCTCCATTGATGATGGCTTTTTTTCATCCCCACGCACGGGCTTCCATCAGGCTCAACATACTCAGGGTTGATTGAACTCATTCTGATCAACTGTTCTGGAACCGAAAATTCAGTTTCCCATCTCAGGCTCAATCAACCCAGAGCTCAGGGATAAGCTCAGAGGTTATATGTGAATTTGTGCTCTGGCAACAAAGTAAATTACAATGTTATCTGACCCTAAAAAGAGAATTCACACTGGCAGTACAATAAAATGTCCTAAACTAAGAAATATGTTGACACCATACAGACTGAGTGAACACAGCCTGGCCATAGAAAAGGGTCGCCACAGACAGAGCTGGCTACCACAAGAGGAGAGACTGTGCTCCCAGTGTGACAGGGGACAAGTAGAGACAGAGCTGCACTTTCTAACCTCATGCCCCAAATATAAAACACTAAGACAAAAACACTTTGCAAACATTTCCCAAATATACCCCAAATTCAAATTCATATCAGACACACAGAAACTCCCCTATTTACTGGGAGAAATGCCCAAATGTGAAATAATTGCTGCAAAATATGTCTCCTCATGCCATGAAGTGAGGACAACCAGTGGAACTTCAGACTGATAATTTGAAAATCTGTACAATTATTTATTATTTTGATCGCTTGTTTTGTTTTTACATTTAATACTGATTTCTTTTTTTATTATTATTATTTTTTAATCAATTAATTATATTTTAAATTTTTTGTCTATTAATATACGTTACTGTTTCATTTATTTATTTTATTTATTTTTTTATATATTTTAGTTTTTTTTTTTTTACGCGCGCATGCACACACACACACCCACACACCCACACACGCTTACTGTTTTATTTATTTATTTTATTTCTAATATATTTTTATTTTTTTAACACATACACACACGCGCTTACTGTTTTATTTATTTTAATTTTTAATATATTTTAATTTTTTTAACACACACACACACACACACACACACACACACACGTTGTGAGGGATTACCCAGAAAAAGCAAAGATTACCGCAGTCTGAGCAGCGGTAGGGACCTGGCGGTTTTTAACGGTGGCAGATGCTGTAACGTTATATGGATTAGTTATGCCCAACACTTGCAGTTTGTGTTCATATCTTTCTTTTTTTTTAAATTGAAAGGTGATCCAAATAAAATCTGACTGCTATTGCAGCATCTCTATGGCGAGTCGTGGTGTGAGCTGCTGTGTTGGTCCGTTGTTTTGCCCTCCAGGTCAATGCGCATGTCACGTGACTGAAAACTATGAATAATGTAATTATTCATACATACCAAAAAACGTTGATTAATAGCCAGGCTTTTATCTGAAAAATCACTGAATTGACCATGCCTATATTTGGGACAGTAGTCCATATGAGACAAGCCTTTAATTCCTTTCGCACAAAACTGAATTAGGCTTCTAAGAAATTTTATTTCAAACAGTATGAATATTCCTTGGATAAAAATGACAGAACAAGACAGTATCTACAACTTGGATGTATTTTTATGAAAAGCTTTTGATCAGTGAAGCCTTACAGACTAATAATCCAGGAATGAACACAT